AATAATAATAATAATAATAATAATAATAATAATAATAATAATAATAAGAAGAAGAAGAAGAAGAAGAAGAAGAAGAAGAAGAAGAAGAAGAAGAAGAAGAAGAAGAAGAAGAAGAAGAAGAAGAAGAAGAAGAAGAAGAAGAAGAAGAAGAAGAAGAAGAAGAAGAAGAAGAAGAAGAAGAAGAAGAAGAAGAAGAAAAGAAGAAGGAGAAGGAGAAGGAGAAGGAGAAGGAGAAGGAGAAGGAGAAGGAGAAGGAGAAGGAGAAGGAGAAGGAGAAGGAGAAGGAGAAGAGGAAGAGGAAGAAGAAGTTGGAAGTCCTCTAGTCCAACCCACTGTTCAGTCAGGAAACCCTATAACATTTCAGACAAATGGCTGTCCAGTCTCTTCTTAAAAACTCCCAGTGTTGGAGCATTCAAAGCTTCTGGAGGCAGGTTGTTCCACTGGTTAATTGTTCTAACTGTCAGGAAGTTTCTCCTTAGTTCTAGGTTGCTTCTCTCCTTGATTAGTTTCCATCCGTTGCTTCTCATCCTGCCTTCAGGTGCTTTGGAAAATGGCTTGACTCCCTCTTCTTTGTGGCAGCCCCTGAGATATTGGAACACTGCTATCATGTCCCCCCTCGTCCTTCTCTTCGTTAAACTAGACATACCCAATTCCAGCAGCCTTTCCTTGTATGCTTTAGCCTCCAGTCCCCTAATCATCTTTGTTGCTCTTCTCTGTACTCTTTCTAGAGTCTCAACATCTTCTTGAGATGTCCACCACATGTAATTAAAAATCTTTGCTTGCCAGAAGGCCGTAAAAGGTGACATGACCACAGAACACTGCAACCATCATAAACACATGCCAGTTCCCAAGCATTTGATTTACATGATCATGGGGATGCTGCAAAGGTCATAAGTGTGAAAAATTGTTATTTTTTTTACTTCAGTCAGTCACTAAACAAATGGTTATAAGTGAAGGACTACCAGTACTTGGAAGCTGCTTCTGGGCCTTTTGCATGAAAGAGAGAGAGAGAAAAGAAACTTTGGATTTTGCCAACTAAATGGATTACTGCTATATAGATGGCTAGCAGTTACTATTTGGTATATCTAAGAAGTTGATACCATAATTTTATTATGTATCTTACTGCACCAAAAAAAAGTTGGAAATTACTGCTTTTTGTTTCTTTTTTTTATTTCATTTTCTGTTTCCTTTCATTTTATCTCCTCTATCCTCTTTCCTTCCCCTTTTTCCATTGTTTTTATTTTTCTTTGTACTGTGCGTTAAGAAAAAAAACTTTTAATAAAATATATTTTTAAAAGGGAGAATACAATAGAGAAATTAAAAATAGCAGGCAGGGTAATTAGGATAACACAGAGCTCACAAGGGGACGCAGTACAAATCACTCTCATTCAGTCCAATTGCCTCTGTTGCTGTTGTGGGTATAAAATGAAGAGACTTGTGTGCACACTACATTAGGCTCAGAAGAAGAGATATAAAGACAATAGTAACTAAATAATTACAAAAATATGCAAATCCTATCACAAAATAAAATCAACTACATAGCCTCTCTGTGCCAGAAAAATTAAATTTCTTGAACTGTAATATGTGACTAATTATTTAACTTATTACATTTCTAAAATAGCTTAATAATAACTCCATCTAGTTTGATATATATATTCACCACATTTCTGATTTTATTCCAAACTAATTCTGAATCTTCTGATAGGTTGATGAGTTATCTCTTCATGTAGCAGAAGATGTAGTGTTCGTGTTCAGATTCCTGGATTCCTTTTGTTCACTTTCCTGAGTTCTTAATATACATCTTAGTTAATGTACATCAAATTAACAGAATAACAGAGTTGGAAGGGACTTTGGAGGTCTTCTAGTCCAACCCCCTGCTCAGGCAGGAAACTCTATACCATTTCAGACAAATGATTGTCCAGTTTCTTCTTAAAAACTTCCAGTGTTGGAGCATTTACAGCTTCTGGAGGCAGGTTGTTCCACTGATTAATTCTTCTAACTGTCAGGAAATTTCTCCTTAGTCCTAGGTTGCATCTCTCCTTGATTAGTTTCCATCCATTGTTCCTTGTTCTGCCTTCAGGTGCTTTGGAGAATAGCTTCACACCCTCTTCTTTGTGGCATCCCCTGAGATATTGGAACACTGCTATCATGTCATCCCTCGTCCTTCTCCTCATTAAACTAGACATACCCAATTCCAGCAACCATTCCTTATATGTTTTAGCCTCCAGTCCCCTAATCATCTTTGTTGCTTTTCTCTGTACTCTTTCTAGAATCTCAACATCTTTTTTACATTGTGGTGACCAAAACTGAATGCAGTATTCCAAGTGTGCTCAAATTATTGAGCAACTAACATAATATGGACGATGACCACATTCTATGCAGTTGTGTGTGAGAGAGACATTTTAAAATAAAAAATGTATATTTTTAAACAAGTGTTTAATTAAAATGTTTGACAAGAAGGGTTTTATGTGGAAAATGGAGAGTGAATCCCTTATGAGGGAGAAAGAGCTCTCTGATCATGTAGCCATTCTGCCACCTGGTGGCAGAAAGGAAACACTGCAACACATACAATTCTGAACTGGTTTCTCCTGCTAAATTTCCAGCTCCACCTAATTTTGTATCAATCTAATCTAATCTAATCTATGAAAAAAATATAGCCTATTCCAAAGGATTTATGTAAGATTAATGCCCATCTTCCAACATTATCTTTATTTCTAAGGATCGCTCTGGTCCTCAAAACTGCTATGCCTCCTTACTGTACCTTTTGCAAAACCTGAAGGTGCCTTTTCAAGGGAAAAGGCTTAATGTGTTGCATAAACAATCCAACTGTGGCTTATTCAGGAAGTCACCATTAAAATCACCTGTTTTAGTGAGATGTGTGTGCCAAAATTCAGCATGTTTCCAGCCCCAATCATTGTGTGAAGGGTTTTTAAGTGAGTAAATGTTAAGTATCTTTCATTTTAGCTATTACTGCATTTGATTATTGCACTAATGGTTTCAAAGTATATTTCATTTGAGCCATTCTTGCAATTGATTATTGTTTATTCGTATTATTTTTACTATGCTTTTGACACATATAAACCACCTACTGTATTTTTCTGTGTATAAGACGCTGTTTTTTCCTGCAAACACCCTGTTCAAAAATCAGGTGCATCTTATACAAGTACAGCGTCTTATACATGGAAAAATAATGGTAACCTCCGCAGCCCAGGGCATGCCTCTGTGGGTTGCCATGCCGCCTGGAGCAGGTGTCAAGCCCCTGTGGGCTTACCACTAACGGGAGGGGGGCACGGGGCAAGATCGTCGGCCGGCTGAACTTCCAGATTTGCTGGCTCAGCTGTTCAGCGCTCCACCAAACAGCTGATCGGCGCACAGAAACTTGCATGCCAGAGCATCTTGTACAAGGATGCATCTTATAGACGGAAAAATACGGTATATTTCCTCCAGATTAGAATGGTGAAAATATTTATAACCTTCCACAGAAACCAGACTGGGGAAATGCTTCTCTTGGAAAAGTATGCAGATAAAGAAGGTTATGTTCCCCATCTGTCAACATCACTTCTTAAATTAGCTGCTTATAAGTAAAACAAACAAACATTAAGATCTCCCAGTTTGCATGGTCCTTAGCTCCTGCAATAGCCAATGCTTAGGAATTGTGCATTTCTTTCTTTTCCAAATGCAGATCCAGTGATAAACAGATACGGTGCCATATCACAAATAGTTATTTTTGCTTGTTGAAATAACCAAGTATTGTGATTTCCAAATTTCTCATATGTAGTAAGTTCAAAGTTTGGGTAGAATTCAAGTTTTAAAAGGCCTACTTTGATATACCTGCCACAGGATGCGAGATATGCTGCTGAGCTGGCCATGATGCTCTGCAATAGCTCTTTGGGAAGCCAGTGAGATCTCAGCATTAGGGAAATCAACAAGTGGGTATACCTGAAGCATAAAAAAGAACTTCAAAAACTATACATTCTATTGTAGGTTGCTGGGTTCTTTTTAAAATTTCCTTTCTATCCTTTCTGATCATGTCTACCCATCCATTGCTTTTATTAGCACACCAGGTACATGAGCTGAAGTAATGGCATTACTTCAGGCATTGTGCATAACACATTGTCAAGCCTGATGAGATCAGAAAAAAGATGCTATTATTACAATTTCTCTCTCCTCCCAAGTTCACCCATCACTGTTACTAGGAAGATTGCTCAATCCCTAAAGCTATAAAAAGCAGAATATTAGGAGCTGCAGAGCTTAAGTGAGTCTCCCTACTCCAATTGCTTAAAATGAGAATTATCTCAATATAAGTAATATGCATATGATGAATATAAAACTGCAGGACATGATGTATTGACTTTGTAATTCTGGGATTGTTAATTGTAATAAGAAAAATTATGAGTCATCATCTGTTCCTCTTGTGGCACAAATGTAGAAATTGTAAGTGCATCCGGTTTCTGGTGCTTATGTCTTAATATATATAATATCATCGTTGCTTTTTTTTAGCTGTATTGACAAATAGAACAGGCATATCAATTAAACAAAATAAAAAATATTCTGCAAATGTTTATGAGATGCCAAGCTATGAGAGTGGCATTACTACCATCTACAGACCAAGACCAAATATATTAAATACTAATCAAAAACTTATAAAGATAGTTGAAACCTGTAACAAAAAGCAGGAGCAAATAGCTTAAGTAGAGTCATTTTCTCCGAGGTGTTCCCTTTCTTTTGGACTGGATTATAGCTCCAAAAACTAGAGGTTTAGAAATACTTCCTAGTAATCAGTGGCCGATATATGAACCCAGTCTAAGTATATAGTTGAAATCTCAATGAAAGCCCAATTACATTTAATATATCAATGCTAGATAAAGGTACATGAGGTAATAAATGAATTATAACATTAAATCATGTAGTTTCCAGTTGTCTTTTTTTTTTTACTGGTACTGGTAGTGATGGTGGTGATGATAATGGTGATGATGATTAGAAAGACAATAAGGATCTAGAGGCATTGTTGGCAAACACCAGGAACTTTGCCTTAAGGAAGTATCATCGTACTTACCAGAGTATTTTCATCTTTAAGTACATTTTCCCCCACAGCTTTACTAAGCAGATCTCTCGGAAAGCTTAGTTGATGTTCAGAAATGAATTCATACACATTGTTTTTCCTGAAAGATAAAAAGGATTAGAGAAGAAGAAGGAGAAGGGGAGGGGGAGGGGAGGGGAGGGGGAGNGAGAGGGAGGGAGATTTACTATGGGGTTTCCCAAACTGTAAAGTGTACTAGGGAAGGATGAAGAACTTTGTAGTTACATTGTCACAATAAATCTACCTTTCCCAAATGTTAATGTTATTGTTTTCATTGTTCATTTGTTTTTGTGTTTGGATTTTTAAGGGAGGTGTACCTTAAGAAGACAATAAAAGAAAGTGTGATGGCAAAAGTTTAGGAATCCCTGATGCAAAATCATATGTACATAGAGATAAGGCACAACACTGCAGTTTGGTTTTAAAAGATGGATGTATTAATAGTTTGCTGCGCATTAAAAGGATAACTGAAGAAGGAAAATAGTGGTGGGATTCAGCCAGTTCGCACCACTTCGGCAGAACCGGTAGCTAATTTTTTGTTGCCCAGGCCCAGAATGGATTTCTGGAAGTGGCATCCACACAGAGAACTGGTTGTTCACATATTTGAATCCCACTACTGGAGGAAAGTAATCAGTTTGTGAAAGACAAGTTAAGAGGAGAGTAGCACCGCAATGAAAAGAAAGGTCAGCTAAAGTAAGCTTTCATAATGAAAGCCCACACTCAAAACAAGATTCAGAGGAACTAAAAATGAGCATGGATTTAAAAGTGAAAGAGTCATTCAAAGGCCAAGTTCTTCTTTGCCAAGAAGGGCCCTTTCTGTGTAAATGTCCTTGGTAAGTAAGTAATTTTGTTTTCTGATCAACAGGATTTCTCCCCCCCCCCATTAAAATAAGATAGAAGGAGTGGTTGGAAAGTGTGCAGAATTTACAAATGAAAGGTGAGATTGTCTTAAAACCTATTTAGGGTGATCCAGGAAAGAAGGGAAAGAGGTGTAAGGTTCACTTGAAAAAAAATAATCTCTTTCTGACATTCTCATTTAATTTTAGAAGTACAAACCCATCCTACCCGGATGCTTCTGAATACAAAATATCATAGTTATTATCCTGTTAAAGAACTGACAAGGAAGTATAAGAGGTATGTCATTTTGAATAAAGGCAATGGTTGTCTTGTCAGAAATCATGCCATTTATTACAATTCAATATTTGTCTCATGCCGTTTTAGTCAAGGGATAAAGGGTTTGTTTCTCAATAAGTCTCAAAACATAGGGTTTCCTACAGCTAAGCCTAAGTATTGCAGGCAAACTCTACCCACAGTCAGATTTTTTGGAGATTTTTAGACTGAGGTACCTCTAATGGGCTAACTTACACAATGTGTCCACCCCTATTTTGGAAGAGTATCTTCATTAGTAAAACCGATAGAGCCTCACTGTAACTTAATTCATGCTTAATGGGTGTGTCTGCAGAAGCATGCAAATGCTTACATAGCTTCAGCACAATTAAATCAGATAATAATGTCATGTAAATGCTGTAATAAAAAGAGCGACATAGAGAACCGTGGTGTTTATATTAGAAAACTGGAACACTGTTACAGGCTGCCTGTTGTATCTGTTTTTGCATTCATTTCTAGCAATCAGAGCCCAGGACTTTATGTGTGGTTTTACAATATTACCATCACCATCTGTATTGAACAAAAGAGGGTAGAAGAACAGGGCTTGAGCAAAGGAGAATAGAACAGCAAATTTAGGTATTACTAGGCAAGTCTATGATCTGTTCTGTCATGTTTTGAGAAAAAGGTAGTGCAGTCTGATGTGACCACAGTGAACCTTAAAAAAAAAATTACTATATTTTTTTTACTCCAATGCCGGACAGCCCTATGCTGGACAGGCCTGTGCCGGACAGCCCTGCGATCAAGACCAATTTTAAGAACATTCTATATCATAAATAAATAATAATAATTGCAGCAGCAAGCAAATTTCAATACTGTCAATATTTACTTTCTAAACAGAAAATCAGAATGATCACAGGCAAACAAAAAAAGAAGTGGGGATGGAAGAAACTTTTGATTTCCTGCAAGCTTCCTCTTTGATTTTGCTTGTGGAAAACTGGCAGAGAACATCGGAAATCACGATTACATGACTGTGTGGGTGCTGCAACAGCCACAACTTTGCAAATAAAACCGATCTGAACATTGTGGAAATTTCCGTTCCATGGGAGTGAATTTTTTACACAATCTTTAAGTGAGAGGATTTTAGGTACCTTGATTCAAAGATTGTTGTGGTATAAACCCACCATTTGGGCTAAATTGATGAAACAAACATGAACAAATAAACATAACGAGATTTTTAGTAGAATATAGATTTTGAGGATGATGATAGAGAACTTAAGGTACCAAACACAGGTCTTAAATTAACATCCCATTGTAAGTATGTATGGCTTTTGTGATATATTATTTAATAAATAGAAATAATTATATAGAAATCTCTCTCTTCAACCTCAGAGAGAGAGAGGTATCTGAATAGTCCTATGCAGTGTTGGGATTCAAATATGGGAACAAGTGGTGCGAACCGACTGAATCCCACCACTGGTCCTATGGCTACCAAAGTACAGAATATATTCTAAGTTACATTTTTAAAGACGCCCCCAAAATCAATATTTGCCTCATCCTATCCTTTTGTGAGGCACCAAATATATCAACACCAGGACAGCCAATGAAATATCAGGCTCAGCACTGGAAAAGAGGGCTAATACCAAGTACAGCTGAACAGTGAAAAAGAAGATTTAATGTGTAACAATAAAAATGAAGACAGGCAGGGAAAGACTGTGAAATTAAGAGTTGTTGAACATTCATCACATAGGTTGAAAGCTCTTTGAAGAGGCTTTAGCAATTACAGCAGCTGATTTTTCATACTAACATCAACCATAACAACACTGAAAACAGGATCACATACCAAGTTATTATCAACTGGATGAAGTGCAGCAACTTTTTCACCCCTTGGCAGGTTGAACAGATTTTGTTGCCTCTTCCAGAACAGGTGTTGCACCTTTTAGATGTAAAAATGGAATCTGTTTATTTTTTAGTTTATTTTAAATGCTAAATATAAAACTAAATATAAAATACCATTTTTTTTAAAAAAAAAATCTCTATATACATGCATACATAGACACATATGCTTTAAAAAATGTGGCTTCCATTGTTAGCAAATTCCAGTGAAAGTAAAATTCTGTTTGACTGAAATATTTAAGAGATGTCTAGGAAAACCAGGAAAAAAAACCCCTAAAGATGGGGACTGCAGCCAAGAAATTAAAAGACGCTTGCTCCTGGGGAGGAAAGCTATGGCAAATCTAGACAGCATACTAAAAAGCAGAGACATCACCCTGCCAACAAAAGTGTGTATAGTCAAGGCCATGGTTTTCCCAGTTGCAATGTATGGATGTGAAAGTTGGACCATAAGAAAGGCTGAGCAACAAAGAATTGAGGCCTTTGAACTATGGTGCTGGAGAAGACTCCTGCGAGTCCCTTGGACTGCAAGGCGTTCAAACCGGTCAGTCCTAGAGGAGATCAACCCCGACTGCTCTTTAGAAGGCCAGATCCTGAAGTTGAAACTCAAGTACTTTGGCCACCTAATGAGAAGGAAGGACTCACTGGAGAAGAGCCTAATGCTGGGAAAGATTGAGGCCAATAGAAGAAGGGGACGACAGAGAATGAGGTGGCTGGATGGAGTCACTGAAGCAGTAGGCGCGATCTTAAATGGACTCCAGAAGATGGTAGAGGACAGGAAGACCTGGAGGAATGTTGTCCATGGGGTCGCGATGGGTTGGACATGACTTTGCAATTAACAACAACAACAACAACCTTATTTCAAATCAACCAGACTGTGGTAAGAGTAGATCCTTAATTGGAATAATTGATATTGATATGAGTAAGGATAATTTGTGTATTATTTATTTTGTAGCATCTTTCAAGCCTAATTCCTAGTGTTTGCTGATTGTGTCAGTGGAGTAAGCATTTAATTTAGCCTAGGAAGACAAAAGGGCAGAAAAAGTCATTCTCCCTTTTAATATTTAAAGAGATAATCAGGAAGGAGGAGGAGGAGGAGGAGGAGGAGGAGGAGGAGGAGGAGGAGGAGGAAAAATATGGACCACCCTTCTTTCAATTAGCTTGACTTCCAGATGTGTCATGCTTTGCCGGTAATTTGATCTACATAACCTATCAATATATCCTGTTACTCAAGCTGTTCTAAGTATATTTGTATAATCTGACACTATCATGGTTTCTAAAACTTTATTATCTCTGGAATTTTGAGAAATGATGAAGGAGAGGAAGAATTAAATGTAGAATAGTTGATATGGGTCCACTGTGTGACATTACCCTTCTGACTACTAAGATAAAAGTTTAGGAGCTAAAGAAATAAAACCTTGCTTGCTTCTTAATTAACTCTGACACAACAGCTAATTGACTAAACTCTGTGATTTATGCCAGTAATACCGAGGTCATTTGGAAACAAAGATGGCAGCACAGGAAATTAGTATGAGTATCTGCACATCATGGCCACTTCCAGATTCAACCGTGGAAGATTAGGTGACCCTTTCAAGGAATGTATTATCCTGTCTACAACATGTGCAGATGGCATGTGTTTATTGTTGGTAAATTTATATAGCATTAGTGTGATATAGATCAGCAGTGATTACCTACTGATTTATTAAAGCATTTTAAGAAACTGTTAGTCTCCTAAGATCCCCATTTTCAAATTATTACCTTGATTTTTTTGTTCTTTGTTATTTTAAGCTTAATGGAGTCTTATAAAACACTTTAGAAGAACAGAGAGGTATTTTGCATTCCCTAAAGATCATGGCAAACCACGCATTTTAGCAGCTGGAAAAACTAAAACATAACGATTTGTGAGCTGCACATAAGCTTGAGTAAATAGATATCAGCTGAAGACAAATATTGGTAGAAAAATGGGAAACCTAAAATCAGTAGGAAAAGAAAGTTTTATATATCATGCTGAGATTTGGCTCTCTCTCCACAAGATAATTATTGTTGAACATGATATCTTGATCTCTCCTCATATGATTTAAGAAGTTATATCCAGTTCCAATTGAGTTCTACTATTTGCACTGGAAAAAAATAATAATTCGAAATCCTTGCATTTCATTTCAATCTCAGCACTGTTATTAGAAAATCAGCTAGTAAAATAGAAGAAAAAAACGAATAGCATTTTGCAGAGAACCGGTGTTTCTATGTCTTGTCTTACCTATTTTCTTCTTATTTGTCTCAATAAGAAGAATAATTATCTTCTCTACATATACATGCAGGGCAAGTTTACTAGGTTCAACAGAGTACATTTATCCTCTTCCTCCTCTGTTTTATTTGCCAATATAAATGTAGGGAGTAGTGGTTAAAGGCACCAGGCTAGAAACCAAGAGATTATGAGTTCTAATATCTCCTTAGGCATGAAGGCCAGTGAGTGACTTTGGGCTACTCAGTCTCACTCAGACCATGAAGTCAGGCTTGGTTGACAAGCTGGTTGATTAATTCCAGTCACAACCACTGTATCAACCGTGGGTTGATCTGAAAAGAAGCAGACCCTTCACTTGCGGGGAAACCACTAAGAAGAATCAAAAATGTAGGGAGAACGGGTCTACTGGATTCCCTATTTTTTTTGGGTGTATTATTGTACATTCCAAGGAAAAAGACACTGAAGAAAGTTTCTATCACTAATATGATTAATACTAATACTACCATTATCAATCAATCAGAATAGAGCTGGAAAGGATCTTTGAGGTCTTCTAGTCCAGCTCCCTGCTCCTTATACCATTTCAGACAAGTGACTCTCCAGTCTCTACTTAAAAACCTCCAGTGATGAAGCACCCACAACTTCTGACGGCAAGCTGTTCCTAATATCTTCAATCTTGCACAAAACACATGACAAACATTTGTAACCTATTCAGTATTTCTGGATTTTCCTCAGAGACAAAGGTAATATGCTTCCTTCATGGCTGACGCCCCTTCTGGTGTCAGCGGAAGAGACAAGAGTTTACTTTTTTTGGCCTCAGTGTTGTGAGTTTACTTTTCTCCGATCTCCTGTGAAATATATGAGATTGAACCTTTCTGGCTAAAACCTAGATAGCACATGAGCAATAGTGGTGCCTCTCTCAGTGCACTTTTAGAAGAAAATCTAATCTCGTTTGAACTACTTGGTGGCAGTGTACAATCCTTCAGCCATTATTTTGATGCAAACTTGTTGTTTTGGAGTATGTTTTCTGAAAACGTAAGTTTAGAGCAACTTTCTTGCTACATAGAAAGTTGGAAGAAAGATTTATGAACATTTCAAAACTTTCGGAACAATTTCTTTCTAATCCCAGTGAAAAGCCATCTACGTTACCCATAATCCACCTCCACAGTCTGGCCTGGAAGAAAACATCTCCATCAGTGTTTTAGTGGCTCTAAATCTGTCATATTACTTTCCCTCCCAGCTACCTGACGGCTGCTGCACTAGGTAATGAGAAAACCTTGAAGAGCAGTTACAAAGAAAAGCATGATGTTTATGTGCTTATCTTCTATACCAGGAAAGGGATAATGGGCAATGAAGCAATATTACCTTAAAGTATGACTTCAGATATAAAGACACGCATTTCGCTATTGCCAGAAATAATTTCCTTTTTTTTAAAAAAAATAATCAGATGACTGTGTTCCTTTCTTATGTGGAAATGAAAGCTGTGTACATCACAAGAAACATAAAAATATGTGGAATGCAGTAAAGGGAGTCTGGTAATATAAGAAGGGATGATTGGATCAAGAATGAATGGGTGACTGAACCCTCAGAGCGGTATCGAAGAAGTGTATTTTAGAGGTTATAAAGCAGCCCTGAACTGCAGCCTATCATTTCAGAAGGATCCAGTGTTTCTTAAGCCAAACTCAGATATTCCAGCCGAGATTGCTTTTGGTTGGAATTGAGGCTGAACTGGTGCTCACTTTAGACCATGGCCAGCAGTCTGTTGCTGTTTGCCCCTAATGGGATTTGGGAATGACCTTGGGAGATAAAGGAAGATTTCGAGTCTAGACGAGGATCAGATAAGAGGCAGCTCAGGTGAAGGAAAGCATGGGAAGCATTTCAGAAGTTTGCCCCACTCCCAGTTTTCAGGTGATTCAAAAGAAAGGACAGGAGAAATATTTTTCAATCTTTCAGGATTCTGTTAAAACGATGAAGTAGATTACTTCATTGGGAGGTGCTTCTTGTCTGGACTACAGTGCAAGGCTGCCATCAATCAAGTACATCTCCCCTCCTCTCTTTTTAGTCTCCAAAAAGTAAGGAGAGTCCCTTCTGAAATACTTCCCATGCTTTTGCCCCACATGCAGACAGAGCTCCTTCTTATCAGACCATTGCCTAGATTGAGGTCTTCATCCTGTCACTCAGAATCAGACAAAAAAAAATAGAATTAGAATAACAGACTGGAAGGGACCTTGGAGATCTTCTAGTCCAACCCACTGCTCAGGCAGGAAACCCTATACCATATTAGACAATCTCTTCTTTAAAACTTCCAGCATTGGAGCATTCACAACTTCTGGAGGCAAGTTGTTCCACTGATTGATTGTGCTCACTGTCAGGAAATTTCTCCTTAGTTCTAGGTTGCTTCTCTCCTTGATGAGTTTCCATCCGTTGCTCCTTGTCCTGCCTTCAGGTGCTTTGGAGAATAGCTTGACTTCCTCTTCTTTGTGGCAGCCCCTGAGACATTGGAACACTGCTATCATGTCCCCCCTCATCCTTCCCTTCATTAATCTAGACATACCCAACCCAGCAACCGTTCTTTATATGTTTTAGCCTTCAGTCCCCTAATCATCTTTGTTGCTCTTCTCTGTACTCTTTCTAGAGTCTCAACATCTTTTTTACATCGTGTTGACCACAACTGGATGCAGTATTCCAAGTGAGGCCTTACCAAGGCATTGTAAAGTGGTATTAACACTTCATGTAATGTATATCATCAGATTGCCCTTCCCACCTATCCAGAAAGGCAGTCTTCATTGGCTAGCTCCTGTGGCCATTGATCCATCAGTTCAGGGCACTCCCTCTTAGGGACTGTTCCTTCCTTCACAGATCAGTGATGACTTGCTAGAGGGGAGGAGGTGACATGTGAGACACTGCAACCAATCAGAGAAAGGACTGCTGTTAAACAGAACAGAGCGCTGGTGACCGTCCACTCTGAAGGATTTAATATGATTTGAGTTGGAAAACAGCAGTTTTGAATCATAGCTGGGGTGGGTTTACAATAGGCTCAGAATGGAAGGACAACTACGTCATCTGTTCCTGCTCAGAAAGCAGTGAGTGGCCTCTGCTGACAGAAGCTGAAGATTTGTCCGTAGATAAGATAAATGAAAATTGAATTGCAAAAGAAATATACTAATGAGAGGTCTTTGGTGGTCTCTGAGTTTGGCTGTTTTCTTGCAGATATTTCAAGAAATGCTGGCAAGAAAACAATCAGGGTCAGAGAGCACCAAGAACTTCTCATTTTAACCCAATGCTACAAGTATTCCCCTTTATCAGTAAACATACAAGTGGATCAAGAAGAAAATGTTGACAAAGGAAGCTGAGGTTGGATGATCAGATGATCAGATCCTCAAGAAGAGGACAGTGAGAATTTTAAAGAACAAAAAGCAATACAGTATATGCTTTGGAAACAAGGGTAGTTAAGAGGGATAGAAAGGCGTGAAGGGATATAATGAATAATAGTCTAAACTAGATTTTGTCTCCTTTTCTTTCCTTTTTCTTTTTTTCTCTCTTCAATTGATTTTACTTAGTATTTCTTTTTATTTTTATTCATTTTGTATAATATTGCTAACCCTGAAAGGGAATAGTATAATGGATTCATGTATATGAACGTATGTATAAAATGAGAGCAGTCACCATTGTTATTATCATTATCTTCATCATTATCACTTTCTCAAAGTCCTTACCTTTTGCGACCTGTACCTGAGCACATCTGACACCGTTTCTGATATTTTAAATGTTTGGCTTTGGCTTTCCTGGCTCCATTACATGTGACACACCTCATCTATGGAGGACACAAAATAGCTAAGACAACATCAGGATGAAGCACACACACACACACACACGCAATAACAGAATAGTTAAGGCATGGTTTTTATTTGATTTGGGCTGAAGTTCTTTTAGCTCAGTCTGTAATTCTCTTCAGGCAGATAACAACAATAACAATAACCAGGGCTTTTTTGTGTCATAGAACGCCCAGAACGGAGTTCCGGCACCTTTTTTGGATGGAACCTTGTAGGGTAGGCAAGGCGGGTTGTATGACGTGTGTGAGTTCCGGCATCCCCCTTTTTTTTTTTTTAACAAAAAAAGCACTGACAATAACAATAACAACAATAATAATAGAGTTGGAAGGGACCTTGGAGGTATTTTAGTCCAACCCCCTGTATACAGAAATGAAATAAATTTGAGTTCACAGAAAACAGAATGTTTAGCTGGAATTTTAGGCTTCATTATTAGCATTTTAAAAAGGTGTTTGTTTGTTTTTTAGTATGGCAATCTGATCCTCTTTTTTAACTTTAGGAAAGCATGTTTTTCTTCTAAGCTAAGATAATTTCTTTTTCAGCAATTGAACAATAGAAAACATATTCCAAAAGTCCTCAAATCACTTGCAAACCCAGCTGCCAAAGACAGTAATGTAATAAATACATTTGCCACTTGTAGAATGTTAACTACAGTTAATGTTTTCTATTGTTCAATTCTCACATGTAGTCCCAAAGGAGCTTTTTCAAGAGGCAACTGGATTTTCTTGTTTTTCTTTGAAGATGTTTCACTTCTCACCCAAAAAGCTTCTTGGGTGAGAAGTGAAATGTTTTCAAAGAAAAAAAGAAAGAAAGTCCAGTTGCCTCTTGAAAAAGCTCCTTTGGGACAACCACGACCTGGATGACTGAGAATCTCCATAGACAATTCTCACATATAATCAATTTGTTTGATCACTTGCTTTCTGACATATCACATATACCGAATGGGTGTATCATTTGTTTCTGTATTTTATATAAAGATCTGACCTACCTTAATAAATGCTTTCCACTTTGCTTTGACATACTTGAGATTCATGCCATTTGGAGGGATAAAAAATCATTTTACAAATTCAGAGATTAAGTTTTTATCAGTTCCATACCAAACTCAGGAATCTGAGCTTTAATAGCAACATGTGCAACTTTCCTGTTTTAAATAGAATTAAGTTGCTCAGCGATGCTGTTGAACAATAAGCATGTGTAATACCCTTTTTTTTAGCATCAAAGAACATAAGACAAATTAATGCACATCAATACTCACCCTGCCTCCACCGTGGCATCCACTACATTTGTATCGGCCCCGGCCATGGCATTTATGACATTCCTGAAATAGAAATGACCCACCTACATACTACATACAGTTACTTAAAAGAGACAGTTGTATATGGTGATACCTGAATTAGGCAAGGATGACTGTCAACAAAGGCAGTTATTCTTACCTAATTCAAGTATTCACATGCATCTATTCTGTTGTAAAGTAATTATGGCAAAGAATAAAAATATTTCCTCATGCTGTATAAGACTAGCAGCTGTAGGGATTTCTAATAACAAAGCATAAGCAAATATGGATCAAAGAGCCATATTTCATTGACTTTTTAAAATTAGGGAAGTGCAATGGAAATTTCATTTTGCTCCATAACAGCAGATTCAATTCATGTTTTGAATTCAAGGTTAAATGGAGAAGAGGGCTGGTCCTGATCAGCACCACTTCAGGCCTTTGTTGAGGCAGAGCAACATAACTCTACCAGGCCCTTCATTTCATCAACAACACACCTCTACAAGATGGGAACAACACACCTCCACAAGATGAAATGCGTCACTAAGGCAATTCCCACTCTCCGTATCTTTATTATTTTATTTTATGTATTTTATTATTTATTAGATTGGTTTGCTGCCCATCTTGCTTCAAGGTGACTCAAATTCAACATTATGATGGTTTGTTGCAGAGACAGACTGGATTTGGCCTTTTTTCCCCCTGTCAATTCGTTCCCAAATTTTAAATATGATAACTGATAATCTTGTCCAGACCTTTTGTATATTTTTAAAGGACATCATGTGAAACCCTCAACTGATCAAATCCATGAAAGATCTGGAAATAAAATCCCATGAGGAATGATTAAAAGGTTGGGTATTAATCCTTCAATCTACAGAACAGACTAATAAAGGGAAACACAGTGGTCTTCAAATATATGATGAGCTATTAGACAGAATGGGGGGGGGGAACAGGACAAATGAGTTAATTCCACAGTGATTAAGATGTGAAAATGGGCTCCCTGATTTTGTTGGCTGTTAGCTGTGGAACTGGCTGCCACATGAAGTGGTGAGTTTTGCTTTGCTGGAGATGATGAAACAAAAACAAAAATCATAGTCAGAAATGTTTTAGTGGATCTTGCACTGAGTAGGAGTTTGTATTAAATGGCCTGTACAGATAACGTTGGAAAAGACTCTTGAACTGCAAGGAGATCAAATCAGTCAATCCTAAAGGAAATGAACCCTGACTGTTCTTTGGAAGGACAGATACTGAAGCTGAAGCTCAAATACTTCAGCCACCAAATGAGAAGAGAGGACTGCTTGGAAAAGACCTTGAGGTGGGGAAAGATTGAAGGCAAAAGGTGAAGGGGACCACAGAGGATGAGATGGTTAGATAGTGTCATTGACGCCCTGCACATGAATTTGGGCAGACTCAGGGAGATAGCAGAGGACAGAGATGTCTGGTGTCCATGGGGTCCCAAAGAGTTGGGCATGACCTATTGACTGAACAACAACAGTCCCTTCCAGCTCCATGGGTCTAAGATTCTATGAAATAAATATTAAACGTCTTCATTATTTATGACGAACAATTCAGTTAGTCAAGAATACAAGAATAATGAAAGCTTATGAATGTGGAATGTGTGTGTGTGTGTGTGTGTGTGTGTGTGTGTGTGTGTGTGAATGAATCGGGGGGGGGAAGGGACATGAAAAAAAAGAAAGAATGGATAAAATAGAGTGAATATGGTGAAATTGTAAGAAGAGGCAGTATCAATCCTACATGAAAAAAATAAAAGAAAAAAAATATTACTCTCCCAAAAGAATGAATTTGAGTGAAAGGTAAGAAATTGAAGCTGTTTAGAAAATAGTGGAAATTATTATGTTATATAGAGCGCTAAAGAAAACAAAGAATGGTTAAGATTAAAAGAGGCAGAGCAAACAGTGGTTGTGAAGGAAACAAAAAATGCATTGAAAATGGGGGAAGAGGGCTAAATAAGGAGTTCCCAGCAAAGAGAATTTAAAATAAAAATGTAAAAAGATTTGGGATGAAGCAGAAGTGAGAGGTTGCTGGAAAGAGCACTTTAAAAATCGGCACAGGAATTACAGTGATTTATCAAAGACTGGAATTGTAAACATTAGTGTTCAGGGGGAAAAAGTGTTAGAAATGAAGTCATAAATAGGTGAGAATGTTGAAAAATTGGAGAAATGTTAAAATATGCCTGTGGTTTGTTTTATTGAATGGAGCTGACATTTACTATTTACGGTAAAACTGTTTTGTGCTTGATAATTGTTGGAATGCCAATTTTGAATCCCTATGTAAAAAGAAAGGTAGCAAGAGTGAATATAAACAGTATAGACCAATTAGTTTGTTAAGCTTTCCTAAGAAGATATTTGGCAGAATTGTGATTGATAATACATGAAAGGTGGCAATGAGTAAAATGTTAAAAGTTTAAGGGGGTTTTACGCTCGGCAGAGGTGGTATATATACAGGTAGTCCTCGACTTACGATCACAACTGAGCCCAACATTTCCGCTGTTAAGTGAGAAAGTAGCATTAATCAAAATATGGTTTTAACAAATGATGGGGTATTTTGTTTTGTTTGTTGTTTGTTTTGATAAAATTACCTTGAGTAAAGAAGAATGGGGAACACGAAACTTTTTTGTGTCTTCCTGAAACATCTGTGGCACTTGGACTTTAATATCCCAAGGTCGAGGAGATACACCATTTTGTGGACCATCCACCAAAGTATCTGATAAAATAAAACAAATATATGCTACAATCCAACAAAGGATTTAGTACTTTTTAATCCATTGTGGTCAATGAAACTAACATTTTAAAAGTGCATCTTTGAATTATATTTATTCTCATCAGACATTCCTATCAATTTTTTATATTTATCGTGGCTGATCCATAGTATTGCATTTATTTTACTACATTATTACGTTATTTTATTGTCTTGAGAGTATAGATTTGGGACCTGCAACAAAATCGTGGAATCTATTCAGCAGGCTTGCCCCTGAGCAGGGGATTGGACTAGATGACCTCCAAGATCCCTTCCAACTTTATTATTATTATTATTATTATTATTATTATTATTATTATTATTATTATTATTATTATTATTATTATTATTGTTGTTGTTGTTGTTGTTGTTGTTGTTGTTGTTGTTGTTGTTGTTGTTGCTGTTGCTGTTGTTGTTGTTATAATATCCTGGATGTGGGACTAAGAGGGAGCCATCCTGGCTGTAGCAGCTAAGGCATCATGGTAGAAACTGGGAGATTGTGAGTTCTAGTCCTGCTTTGGGCACAAAACCAGCTGGTAACCTGGGCCAGTCACTTTCTCTCAGCCCTAAAAAGGAGGCAATGACTTCTGATGTCTTGCAAGAAAATTGCAGGGATTTGTTCAGTCAATCACCACCAGTCAACACTGACTTGAAGACACTAAAAAAATAATAATGGGACCATTAAACTCAAAGACTGAATGTATATTTATTGTTAGCGATGGACAGAAAAGCTTGCTTGGAATTTCCCTGTCTTTGAGCACAACACATGTTGACTGGGGAGGAAAGAGAGAAAGTTCATTTGTTGCTCTGTATCAGGCAGCAAAATGATTTGTGCCAGCTATCATTTATATTGCTTTTCTCCTTCTCCCACTTTCAAGTTACTTGCCAGGCTCTTGCCATCAGCCACAGAAGAGACGAAGAAAGAGAGAAATAAAGGCAGAAACAAAAAGGTGGATAAATCCCCTCGTTTCTGTGCTGTATTGCTGATATACTATCTGAAAGACAGAACAAGATTCCAGATAACAGGTAGGACCAGAGATCGATTAGAGATGGAAAACTTGTCTCTGCTGAATATATTTTACAAAGAATTCATCACAAGTTCCAACTGGAGTCAAAGATGACAAGTTAAGGCTTATTGCATGACATCAATTACAATCATTAAAAATATTTCACAAATGGTATATTCACACTTTGTTTAGAATCAAGGGAACCAGTCCAATATTGTACCTTTCTTTATATCAAATATTGACAGGTTTTCTTGAAAGTCTTTTTTTTAAAAATGGGAAGAGAATTTATAATCTGAATTTGATGAATCAGCTTGAAAGTCTTCATGGCATAAAATTCTCTCCACATCCATTTTAACAAGTCATCTGGAATTGGCTGTAGAAATAATTCATAGATGACATTGTACTGTACAAAATTACATTTTATTGATCAAGACTTTTCTTGGTGTATAGCAGGAGTTACAGGCAAACTGATACATATTGCAGTCTCCCCTAGCCCCTACAGAAATTCATTTGGATTAAAGGTTTTAAGAAAATTAGGAAAAAAATATTTAACAAACTTTAGTAATTAATCTTCCTACAGGTATGATTTCCGTGTTTCCCCAAACTTATAAATCAGTGAAACGAAAAAAACAGAGTCCATATTTTTTTCTGTTAGCTCCTGAGTCTATGACTGGAAAATACTGCAATATTTTATTTGATTGATGCAGTAGTGGGATTCAAGTATGTAAACAACCAGTTCTCTGTGTGGATGCCACTTCTGGAAGTCCATTCTGGGCCTGGGCAACAAAAAAATTAGCTACTGGTTCTGCCGAAGTGATGCAAACTGGCTGAATCCCACCACTGGATCAATGGCATTTTACAGAGGGAAATTGTACTTGGCTGCAAAAATGGGGGGGGGGACACAGTAATAAAGAGTCTTGAAGAACTCTTTTTATTTTTATTTATTTATATCCCACCCTTTTCATTTTTTATAAATAACTTAAGGTGACAAACATATCCAACAAACATACCTCCCTCCTCCTATTTTCCCCACAAATAACAAGCCTGTGAGATGAGCTGGGCTGAGAGAGAATGACTGGCCCATCGTCACCCAGTCATTTTTAATGGCTAAAGAGGAACTTGACAGACTTCACAGACTCCTGATTTTTAGCCTGGTGCCTTAACCTGTAGACCACAGGTGTCAAACTCACCACGTCACGTGATGTGTTGTGATGTATCACAACATTTTTTTGCATTGCCGGAGCTGGCGTGGGCGTGGCCTCTGCATGATGCAAACGGCCCACAGGCCAGCAGTTTGATACCCCTGCTCTAGACCAAACCAACTCTTCCCTTAAGAATGGTTTTATTTAGTTTTTCCACTCCATTTTTACCTATTTTTACCTTAGATTTTCTAAATGATTATGATAACTACATAATCTCATTTTTTAAATCTACTTTTTCATGCATAGAACTACTGAATGGAGAATTTTAATGTCTCTGATTTTTTCATACAGTAACATCCATAAATGCATAACTATAGAAATTTGACTAATGAACAAATAACTGCAAACTATGGTTTGATTCTTATCTTATCTTATCTTGCCTTGCCTTGCCTTGCCTTGCCTTGCCTTGCCTTGCCTTATCTTATCTTATCTTATCTTATCTTATCTTAGGGTTTTTCTGGGGGCAGAATATCATTATGTGAGGTCACTCTTTCCAAGACTGTCATTCTCAAAGTTTTTATTATTTCAGATATTGCAAGAATTTCTCATCCTGAAGGAAAGTTAATTTTTAACCACTTAAAGTGAATTAGAAACCCTTGTAATGCATACAAGAACTTTATTTGTTTGATTGATGATTGATTGATTGATTGATTGATTGATTGATTGATTTTCTGCCCATCTCACCTTGAGGTAATTCAAATGTTTAGATCATAGTCCTCCCCTTGGCAACCTTCATCTCTTTTCACCATAGGTTACACCAACTACTTTAGCAGGAGGCTTTTACTCTTCTGCAAAAACTAGTCCATTTGACCTTAACAAAATTATTAGTTCAAGCAAGTTTGTATCTAAGACTTTCAGGGTTCTATTGTATTATGCCAGGAGCAAGTTGATGGAAAGGCCCTGTTTTTTCTCCCCTAAAGTAGCTAAGGACTTTTTTCTGTTGATTCAAGATGCAAAGTATCCAAGGACAATTTTTAGCATCTGAAGGAGCATAAAAGTGCTGCCGCTTAATATATAACTTTGCCTTTGCTAGGGATCTTCAACCAGAGGGAGGATGGTCATTGGTCAGAAAAGCTCTAGCGGACCCTGCACTTGTAGGGAACTGGAATAAATGACCTCTAGGATTGCTTCCAGGTCTGTGCTTCTATAATATACTGGAACAAATTGTTTATACTATGTTAAATATTCACTGTTAATAGTATGTAAATAATTTATTCTTTTTAATATTTAGATCCTTTTTTAAAAATTTGGCTAGTTGTTCTGCTATCTCCCTACCTTGTGACTGGACTTGTGTAGTATGTAAGTGAACAAGAAACATATATACATTCATTTATGTCATCTTTCCTCTGAGAACTCAAGGCAGAGGGTATGAAGCTCTTGGCTTATTTTATTTGTACTAAGCACACCTATATGAGAAAGTGGGTTGAGTTAAGAGAAGGTGACCAACCCAAAGTCACCCAGTGGACAAAGAAGAACTTGAAACTCAAGTGTCCTTGAACTCAAAACAGGCCATTTTAACTACTAAAACTGGCAATATCTCCTGTCTTAAGGTTGTAGAGGTGCTGTAACTTTGGCTCTGTCTATTGTGATTGCTACTATAGACACAGGGAAAATGTGATGGAACATTAACCCTGATTGATTAAAATTCTGAGATAAAAATGCTCCCTCACATCTCTACAAAGATTATTGTTCAAGTTTCCTGCTCTCGTATTTTTCTGGCCAGGTGAAAAGAGTGAGTTGTGACTAATGTCTAATCCAGGGGTCTTCAAACTTGGCCCTTTTATGACTTGTGGACTTCAACTCCCAGAATTCCTCAGCCAGGAATTCTGGGAGGAATTCTGGGAGGAGAAGTCCACAAGTCATAAAAGGGCCAAGTTTGAAGACCCCTGGTCTAATCTAACCAACACTTCATTTGCCAACACACATGTAGAATTCAGAGAGACAGCTCCTCTAGCTGCTATTAATGTGCACTGCCAGTTTCAAAAGTGTCCAACTATTCAATTGATCTTTTTACCAGGGGTCCTGTTTCTCAATCTTTCTTTACAAAATCACATGATGATTTTATTTCACATATCTCCTGCATTATTGCATTTAGCCAATCCAAAACTTCTTTTAACATCAGTTTTTTCCATTTTTTCCACTTACGCATTCCACTCACCCCATTAACAATATTTTGTTCTTTCAAAATGCTGTATTTATCAATTTTTGATATATATTTTTTTTCATTTCAATGTCTTCTATCACTATGTCTCTAGTAAGTGCATATACTTATTATGTACTAACACTTCCTGGACATCCACTATTTCTAACAAACAATGATCCTATCATTTATTGGCTTATCACTGAGCAAGTACTTGGTGATAACCTTCTTGGAATATCAATGTTTGGTATTTATTAGTGGGAAATTTAGAGATTTCTTTTTTGTTTTACCAACACATTCGCCTAATTCTATGCCACTGAAAACTACCTCCTTGAATATTGTCTCTCATAGGTGTTCGTGATAAATTGTTTCTTAAAAAAAAACTGGGATTTTCAGGGGTTTGTATCAAATACCATATTTGGACGAATTTGATGCAAAATTCCACACATGTATGTATTTGGAAACTGGGAGTCCTAAGCTCATTTGTATGTTTAGATACAAATGAAAGTTTACAAGTGGTATGCGCAGGTTGCATTTAATGACTGGACCCTTTTCTGCCAAAAACTCTTTATAAAGATTTGGTTGGAAGTAATGTATCTCTTTAAATGTTTACTTACTGGCATAAGGCTCAAATGTCCATTCACATGCTCTTGTTTCATTAAAGGTTTCCAGTCGATACTGTGGAGGAACACAACTTGTCATCAAATGTTAATTCTAGAAACCTTAGTCTGAGAAAAAGAATTATTTTTCTATTTTGGATCTTTTGAGACATCATTTTAACTCACTTCTGGATCACCCTGTCTACCATCATCAACATGGTTTTGGAAAAAAATGTTACTGAGGCCATTAAAGCATTTTGTTTACCCCTATAGGGCTTCAGGAGTTAGTCCAACTTCTAAACAAACATCACATTTTTCTAGTTTCTAACAGTTGCAGAAGTCTCACTTGTGCAAGGCTATTGATTTTCCCCACCTGGCTTTGTTCACTCCCTGGCAACCTATCCCAAAACACTCACTCTGTGGAAGGTCTGTGGCTTCAATTCCTGAATGAGGAGCTCGCCTGCAGCTCTGTTGCCATAGCAACATTTGGAATTGACAAAACTGAGCAGTGCACTTCTGGCCATGTCATCTGTCATTCTAGGGAACCTGGGAATTAACAAGACAGAAAGCACACATTCAATTCTAAAGCATATATGCATCCGGTCTGTGGCATCTCCAGTAAAACAGACTAAATTGAAGCTGATGACTTAAGCCTTGCAACTCCAATGGCAGAGAACAATGATCGTCTATGAAGAACACATTGGCTAGTGTTTTGGGCCATGTTTCATTAATAAGTGCCAAACACCATACTTCAGGAATAACATGTTTTTGACACGCCGGTTCAGAATTGGCTACCCTACTGAAGACTTCTTTGTGAAATGTCTAATTCTGAATATATCCGTTTGATTTCAGTACAGGTAGTCCTGGACCTATGACCACAATTGAGTGGTCATTTATGTTGCTAAGTGAAACATTTGTAAAGTGAGTTTTGCCCCATTTTATGACTTTTCTTGCCACATTTGTTAAGTGAATCACGGCAATTGTTAAATTAATAACAAGGCTGTTAAGTGAACCTGGTTTCCCCATTGACTTGGCTTGTCAGAAGGTCGCAAAAGGTGATCACATGACCCTGGGACACTGCCAACCATCATAAATGTGAGTCAGGTGCCAGACATCTGCATTTTGATCACGTGACCATGCGGATGCTACAATGGTTATAAGTGTGAAAAATGGTCATAAGTTTCTTTTTTCAATGCCGTTGTAACTTCGAATGGTCACTAAACAAACTGTTGTAAGTCAAGGATTACCTGTACATATAATATAGGTGGAAAGGACAAATGATTCTCTATGTTCTTTGAATCTTTATTATTTTCTACACTCTGGTTCCTGGGTGGCATAGGGAAGAAAATTATGAGTCATGGTTGCGATAGATCAGTGACGGAGAACCTTTTAGAGACCGAGTGTCCAAACTGCAACCCAAAACCCACTTATTTATTGCTGGGTGCCAGGTGGGCATGGCCCACGGGATGGCGTGGGTGTGGTGGTCATGGCAAATTGGGTGGGTATGGCCAAGGTGGGCGTGGTCACCTCAATGTTGCTCCTGGGGAGGGACACTTATGGGGGGTGGGCAGGGTTGGGGGAGATCCAGGGGGTCTCTGGCAGGTGGGGCAGTAGACAGGCTTGTCCTGCAGGGTGAAGCGAGGCAGGCTGGGGGTGCCATTGCCATGGGCAAGGCAAGGGCTGTGGTGGCTGCTGCCTGACACCATTGGCCCCCACACACAGATGCCAGCAAGCACATGGGGGCCAATGGTGTCCGTTAGCAGCCAAAGCCTGCCAGCCCCTCAACTGGTGCACTCTGGGGCTCCGCAGCCCACCACCAGCAGTTCAAAGAAGCCACCTCTGAGCTGGATGGCCGGCCAACAGCTGAGGAGGTGATGCAGTGGGTCGTGCCTGGGAAAAGGAGAGCATGCGAGGCCAGGAGGGATGGGACAGGGGGGAGGGAAACCAGCCATGCCTGGATGCATCCAGTCATGTGGGACCTCAGTGAGTTAGCAGGCAGCTGGTTGAAGAGGGGCAGTTACCTTCTCCAGGGCATGGCATGCGTGCCCAGAGAGTGGGCTCTGAGTGCCGCCTCTGGCATGTGTGCTATAGGTTCGCCACCACTGCGATAGATGAATACCAACAAATCAGAATTCCAAGGCTTGAGCTTTCTCTCAGAACATGTTTATTGGTTACAAAGTATGGGCATAGTCAAAAGTAAAACCAAGTCTGAAATTCCCTCCAAAGGGTTTCACTATTACAAAGTAAAACTACCCATTGCTATGAAATCAGCTACATGTCATGGTTCCAATAGATGAGATCAGTAAAAGACAACTCCAAGCCAAAAAGGTTTCCTTAAAGAACACATTTATTTGGCTACATAGTATTGGCATGATCAAAAGTGAAACCAAAGATTACAATGTTACAAAGTTGAACTTCCCATCCCAATAATATGTCATAAATCACATTCCCCAATTAACTACTTGCGCAGGAAGCTTTAGCCCGCCAAAATGCAATCAGCAATGACCTTGGTTCCCACAGGACAATTTATTGTTTTGTCTAAACTAAACTATACTCATCCCCCCTCCCAATTCTGTGGCAACCGAAAATGAAGGGAAAATGGCTTCAGCCAAATTCATTTGAGAATTGACAGTACATTCCCCAATAGAATGATTTGGTGGGCTTTCTAACAAAATGCCTAACCCTCTACCCTGGGAGAAAGGAATTACCTTGGTTCCCACAGGACAGTGTTTTGTTTTGACTAACAAAGACACTCCGCAGCCCCTCCCTTTCGTGTGGCAACCTAGAACGACCAAGATGGCTGCAGCCAGGTTTGTTGCAGAGTTGACATTATGTTGAAATGAATTGCAGTCAGCACTTGCTAGACTCCTATAAGGCCAAGTCTTTTAACTTGGTCCAGTCTTCTATTGTCTTGCTTGGAGATGACAACTCATTGAATTTGCAGGTTTGATTTAGCTTTTGCTAAATTGAGCAAGGAAGCAATTCAGCAAATTACTAGCACCAGAGCGAGGACATTTTCAAAAAGAAAAAGCAATAAAAAATGACTTACCTACACTCCAGCAACACAGGGTTGCTCCTCTGTTCACTAAGTCTTTGCATCATCTCCGGAGGTGGAAATAACTTTTTCCTGCCTAGGTGGAAAGGTTCAAGGAAGAATGAATAATGATGAATAAATACATACAGTGATGGGTACAACATGAAAACTAGAGAAAATCACTCATAGCACTGATGGCATGTTCAATCAGACCCCCTTTCTGTGCTCGTGTGGTGCCTCTAAAGATGATTTATGATGTTTGAGGTGTTCTCACCAGCTGCTGCTATGAATGTGTCTATTTATTCTCTGAATCATATTTATTCTCTATTTATTCATTCGTTTGTTTGTTCCATTTGCCTAGCTACACATCTCATATGTGTGACTCTGGGAGAATCACACAATTAAAATAGCAACAGGAAAACAGTAAGCAAAATGCAAATTTTTAAAAAAAGCAAAATATATGTAAAAGCATTGAAACCAAATTAAACTCATAAAACATAATCAGCAGGAGAGTGTTTGCAGTTTGAATCTGGACCTTCAACATAACTCTGTTATATATTCTGTTATATGGCATTTGCCAACTACGTGCCTGAGGAAGATTTATATGGTAGATAGCTGAGCTATCATAGCTCTATGCTATTAATCTTAAAAGTCACATGAGAACAGCTGTATTTTTCAGTAGTATATTTTTTCAACTTTTTTTACTAATAGCAACACATAAGTTGACGCATACTAAAAATAATGTTAGTATTTTTATGAGAATTAATTAGAATACTTTATCATGGAATAGGGCAACATATGGATAAGATAATACTGTACTTTATGTTATTTCTATATTTTGCTTTTAGTCCTAACCAAACTACAAAAAAAAAATCTACACAAAAAGATCTAGGTATTGTTTTAATGTGAAACTGAGCAAAGTTTTTTTTTACACTTTACAAGATTGATGGTGATGCCTCAGGTAAAAAGTTTTGGTTATTATTTAAAGCACATTTACCAGTTTGTTATTCTATTTCAATTCTATTAATTTCAGGTGCACAGCACTCCTTCAGATCACAAAGACCTAAAAATATGATCTGTGATTCACTAGTCTTCCTTTAATCCACCAATTTATATTATATTCCAGTGATGTCATGTTATAAACAAATATATTAGCTATACTTAAGACAGACAGTATTGACATTCTCTATTTTTAACAGATTTCCACTAAAGTCCTAACAGGGTCACAAGCAAAATAGCCTACAATACATCATTATAATTCCAAGATTTTCTTCTCCAGCATTTCATAGAGCATGATTTGCACATGATTCATCGAGCACAACATTTTCCCCCCAAGTTATAGTATTGCTCTGATCAATCCAGTTGATATTTGAAAGAACACTCATTTGCTATGTTTTTAAAGCCAGGAATTCCAATTTATGAACAAAGACTGCATTAAGAATATTATGATTTAGTCTCCTGTTACTGTTTTATATTTTCTATAAATATCTTTCAGCCTTAAATAGGGTTGTGCCATCTATAAGTTAAATTCAGAAGAAATTGACTTTTTTTAAAAAAAAATCATACCCCCTCCAGGGCAAGTTATTCTATATAAAAGGGAGAAAACCCTACACTTTCTAGCCCTGATGTTGTTATTTAGTTGGGTAATAAAATGTTCGAAGAACACCAAGGGCTCCACTAATTCTTTGTCCATATATAGGACAAAAAGAATAATTCTGCAGTGCAGATCAGGAGCTTGAAAGAAGTAGATTTGGCTCATATTAGCGCTGAAAGATCTCTTTTAAATTCCCCAAATCTTATGTTTCAACAAGGATGTTTTGAGAACTTGAATGTTTCTAATTTGGAATTCAAGGAAAGGTTCTTTGAAGATATTACCTGAACTTCTTTCTAAGACAGAAGGCAATCTACTGAGAGGAATCCCTTTATGTTCAAGATTGAGCTACTAGGGTATCTCTGCACAGAAAAAAGTTCATTGTCTAACATGTAGAAATGTTTATTTTAAAAAACACACGCATATATTAAAATACAAGAAGATAAGAAACACTGCCCTGATAAAGAACTTGTGTTCCTGTAGTTATACAAATGCAACCATCAGTACAGCTCAATGGGTTATGTATACATACCATGATCACGAAAAGTCCATGTATCGAGACCAACTGGGGTAAACATATCCATAAGGGGCAATGAAGGACTTTCAGGCTCTGATTCCAGTTCCAGGGTAGCTATTTTAAATGTAAACAGTGAATGATACAAAACAGCCATTTTATTTTTGTGCATAACATATAGAATATGGGGCAAAGCTACTTACGGATCTATCTTCAGCCCATTAAAATCTATCCATCCCGCTCAATCAGGCAGGGAAGATATGCTGCAGACTCCATCAGTTAAAGGATTCCAACTAGCGGGGTCCAGGAAGAGACCTTTTCTGCCTTTGCCTACACCATGTGAGATGAGGCAGGCCCCCACTCTCCTGGCCTTCAGGAAAGGTGTGAACGACATGGCTCTGTGGTCTTGCTTAGAGAGCACAGAAGAACATGCAACCTGTGGGGCTGGTTGTTGCCCTGAAAGCCCTCCCTTTGCCTTTTCATTATTTTTTAATATTGTGTTTAATTATTCTTGATGATAGATAGATAGATAGATAGATAGATAGATAGATAGATAGATAGATAGATAGATAGATAGATAGATAGATAGATAGATAGATAGATAGATAGATAGATAGATAGATAGACGGACGGACGGACGGACGGACGGACGGACGGAGGGATGGAGGGATGGAGGGATGGAGGGATGGAGGGATGGATGGATGGAGGGATGGATGGATGGAGGGATGGAGGGAGGGATGGAGGGATGGATGGATGGAGGGAGAGGGAGAGACAGAGACAGAGTTTACAGTCCCAGATACAATGTCAGAAATGATCTACTAAAAGTCAGGAAGGATTGTCCCGATGGCATGATGCATTCATTTTGCTTTTGAAACCTCTTCATATTCTAAGGTAAATGTAAAATTATCCAATTCATATGTGGAAAGAAAAGCATGTCAGTCAACATTTAGTCACGATAGATTTTTAGCAATCTATAATACTATTCTACAAACAAATGAGAGTTACAAGAAATGAAGCTTTTGATGAATTATTGGTTTTTCCCCCTCAACAAATGTGAATGCTTTTTTTAAAAAAATAAACTATTTTAGTACCTTTCTATTTGGTATGAAAAATGTGTTTCTTCTTAAGTACTATAGTAGAGTATTTTGTATCCTTTTAAAAATCTATACAAGAAACAATATATACCCATGGATGTTACAGGAAATGCCTTCTGCTAACAAAGTACATTTCTAAAAGCAAAATAGTTATTTGATGCCATCATTCATCACTTTGATTGAACAGAATTTTCTGCTAAAAGCAAAAAAAAAACAATTTCTATTTTCTTCTCATGAAAAAGAATAGAAGAAATAAACAAACTGCAGAAGACTTCATATGAAGGTTGCCTCAATTAAATTGAATATAGAGGCAAAAGATTTTGTTGTTGTTGTTCCATGAGACAAGCAAATATGCAGTAACTTTTATTATTGTGAATTCTTTTCACACTAAATTCCTTACATCGATTGTACTCTTGAGGTTCATATTGGTTCGTTTCTTTCCTTTAAAAAATCATGATGGACTTTTCTGGGGCAAAAAAGAATCAGAACTGGATCCAAAGTTCTGACCCAGATGGATGGTTAGTCACAAACTTTGACTGAATAAGCCTGAATGTTTAAAAATATAAGAAACTATGAACTTGTAGTTTGTTGCAAAACTAATTTTTTTACCTGTTGTTCCTTCATATGGTTTCTAAACAAGACAGTCTCTAGGTGGAGTCTACCAGCATAGGTTTTATTTAATTTCTACCTCTTCCCTCACAGGGGGATAAAATTTCATAATTCAAACCAAGTATATCTCCTACAGTATATGACTTATATTGATGGAACCAATATAAGACTGGTTTCTTCTCATTGGAAACTCATTAGATGTTGACAGTGGTGGGATTCAAATATGCAAACAACCAGTTCTCTGTATGGATGCTGCTTCCCAAAGTCCATTCTGGGCCTGGGCAACAAAAAATTAGCTATCAGTACTGCCGAAGTGGTGCAAACCGGCTGAATATCGCCACTGGATGTTGATCGCCTAATGTTATTCTGAGTGAATTGACTGCAAATACTTATCTAAAGTGCAAAGATCCATGAGTTCACCTTCTAGCAGAGGGTATGTACTCTACAGAATAACATCTGGCTGCCTACATAGCAGATGAAATAAATGAAAGCATGGTGAAGCGTTTGCCTTGCAGAGATAGAAATTGCTTCTGTGGTGTGAACATTATAGAACGAAGCAAATTTATGGATCCTTAAATCAGTGTACCTGCCTTTTCTTCCTCCGGCTAGGCACATTCAATAAATGACCAAACCCAGCAGTCTTGCAAGACAAAATTGCAACTTTTTTTTTTTTGGTAACAGATGGACATATTTTTATTTCTCCCCTGAGCAGTTTTTTTTTTGTTTTCCTTCAACAAGCAGATTTTTTTTTTAAATAGCAAAAGTGTAATAGTAGCTTGGGGATTTGGCAGGAAGAAAAAAAAAGTGTGCTGACATAGCTTATGTATGTTGCTGGAACTGCAGACAATGTGCTTGAAATACTGGATGTTTACAGGAAAGGTAGCCTGTTATCATTTTGTCCCTACCTTCCCTCCCAAAAGTGCCCCATGAGTGGGGAGATGAGAACTCAGAAGCAGAAATCTCATTGGCAAAAATATTTGGGGTGAGTTGCAGCAGGATTGGCAAATAGCTCCAACTCTGCTCCAGTTGCTTAACAACTGCATTTCCAAGATCTTGGTTAACTCAGATGTAGCTTTCATTCCTTGCTTGCTGCTTATCCCAGGGTTAGATTCAAGGGGTGCTGCAGTTAATTGATCTAAGTAATGGTTTTATATCCTGGAGTTCAAATGAAAATAGGCCTGCAAGTTAGCTCTCTTGTTCTAGAGGAGTGTTTGTCAGCCTCAGCAATTTTATGATATATGGATTTCAACTCGCTGAATTTCCCCAGTTAGCA